TCAGACGTGTGCTCATCTTTTCTTGGTTCATATTCTTTCTGAAATTTATTAAAATTCTTATTAACATTTGAAATATTGCTGTATTGTCAAAATCAAAACACAATACATTATGCATGGGAACTCTGCACTAAGAGACACATATTGACACAAGAGTCATTCTGTTTATGACTCTCATTAAATGTTGAACAAAGACAGAATGATATCTGTGACGATATATGTATCTCTTGCTGGAAAGTTCCCTATAAATATCGTTAATAATCACATTTATAGATTGCATTTTTTAATTTCCTTTAAAAAAAAGTTTATTATGATCCTCCAGAGCTGACAGTATGTTATTGAACCCACTGATTATAAATCTTTTTGTCAAAAATGTCAATTCAATTTATTTTAGGTTAATTATATATACATTTGCAAATGTGGATCATCTGGATTATTCTTATTAAACTGTACTTCTATACTAGCATTCAGTATTTTTTATATGAATTATCATTTATAATTCCTTGAAAGTAATTATAAATTAGTGCAGCCTTTTAATTAATATTAAGTTTAATAGATTTTACAGATACAGCATTATAGTATTTGTATCAACTTTGGAAGGTTAATTGAAAAAGGAAATCAAAAGATATTAATTATATTATAAATTATATAGATAATTATATATATTAAGATGTATACCTTCCGTTGTATAGATTTTCTACGCTGACTCGTTGTAGCTCGAGGAATTTTAAATTGTTTTCCTTTATATTCCAGATATTTTTTATATCTGTCTCGAGGCATATTAGTGTAAGGTATAATTCCAATAAAATTCACTTGTATACTTATAACATTCACTTCAACGTAATTTAATAATTGCAAAATTAACAAAATGTTGATATTTTTATGATTGAATTATATACGTATGCATCACATAAATCGGTAGGTTACGTTATTTGCACTTTTGCACTCTAGCGCTACTGCTTGTGCAGTTTACCATTGGCAGCGGGTGACGCAATGCTTTCCTCACTATTGTCTCGTATGCAGTTCGAGGCACGATATTATTAAGCTTTTGGATGATACCGTGTTTGTCACGCATATAAAAAATCTCGCCAGAACTACAGACTGTGCAAAATAAGCAAGGATTGTTAGCGTAGGTCAGTAACCGTCAATAAAGATTGTAGTGTGTCGGACGTGCATATACACTTTCTGAGGTAGGTGATAATTTTTTATAAATTAAGCTTACGTTATTTCTCATTGCAATGATATTCTTATTTCATTTTGAATCTCATATTTTACATTGCTCCTATATATTTTTATTATTATTTTATTTATTTGTTTATATGTATAGCTTGTTTATTACGGGCAGGCTTTCCACTGTGTCTAGTGCAAGTATAACAAAGACACGAAAAAGAAGATTGATTTTTCTCATTTTATTCGTCATATTTTAACGTAAAAATATAATAAGCGAGTTAATTATTATATTCAACAAAAATGTCATTTGCATGCATATACTTGCCAAAAG